CAAGCTGACTGGTACTCGATGTCTCGATCGAGTGTCAATAAACGAATTATAAGTCTGAATTCCATATTAGAGTAAACTAATGACATCATTTTAAATCCTCAAATATTTGGATGAAAATTATTTCTTGAGATAAGAAACAAATTATTGTGACGTGCAATATAGGTGTTTTATTAATAGGTATATAAAGCTATATTGTAAAGGTAGGTATTCCAATTATTACATTACAATTATACAAGTATTAGGTAGTGTTAACATGAATAATATGTTGAAATGTGCATAATATTATGTAATGTCTTTGGAAATAAATTGGCCGTATAATATATTTTCAATTTTGAACTATATAATATTATTTTGTTGTCATGGAGATTTTCGTTTAGATGTTTATGCGTACGACCGATTACACATTTTGAATCAGTTTATATTTCGCGACGAAACATCTCTCGAATATTATAGTAATTTTCACATAAATAATATATACAATGATCAACTTATGATTTTATTTTTATATTGTCTTATTGTTTAATAATTTTTCTACACCTTGCGTAAGGTACGCATAAAAAATCAAAAAAACCTAACAACTAAATACAGTTTTCAACACCATTATGCAGCGAGAGTACGATGAAGAGATCCTCCGGGACTATTTCAACGTTTCCGTGATGGACGTTGTGGCAGCTCTAATGACAAAAATTGAACAACTATACTCTACAGAAACCGAAACCAGAGTCATTTACGACGGAGAGAAGGAGTTTGATGGAGCTGATTTGAGCGACTTCGTCGTGTCGATGGTCAGCGCGGCTGTCATGGGCCAAGACCAGGAGATTTCGGAAGTGCAGTCTTGCGGACAGTCCGAACCGCAGCGTGGACGGGCTGCACTTCTGGACCTCAGCGACCATGCGAAGACCGGAAACGGAGAGGTGGACTGCACCGGGATGCGGCCGGCCGAGGCCGACTGCAGAAGGTCGGCGAAGAGTGGGGCGAAGATCGACGAACCAGCAACACAAGCTGCAGTGTCTTCACGCGGGCGGGTTAGGCGATTGGTGGCCGCCGCGTGGAGAGGAGTGAAACGGGCCGGACGTGCAGTAATTTGCCTGGGTTGCTGAAAAGCGTCCTCCGAACCCGACACCTCGGTCGAGGGCAGCAGTCAAGGCGAAGCGATGTGGGAATCGAGGTATATGAGGTACGTAAAAGTGCACTTCCGGGCTGATCGGCAGAAGGTCACCGACACACGTTCTCCGGCCACCGGCGGCAGGGACACGGGATCGCGGACGTCCGGAGACCCTGTGGAAGCGTGGCGGGCCCCGGTCACCTCGGTCCGAGAGTGACGACGACGACGACGAGACGAGCTGGCTAACCGGTGGTACCTGCACTTACGGTACGACTGCTGCAGCGTTGCACCGCGAAGACGACTCGCGACGGTGTCAACGGAAACCGCAGAGCGCACGTCGGCCGAGTGACGGACGACTTTAATTATTATTATCGTACGGTGGCTAGGGACCGTATAATAATAATATTTTAGTCTTCGTCACTCGCTCCGACGAGCCTCTTTGGTGACCGTCTTCGCCGTCGCCACAGTCGTCTTCGGCACCTGCAGCACAATATCTATAGCGCACGTCATCGCGCACTAGCCAACCGTCGCCGACCGTCATCGTCGCTCTCGCAGCCGTCGTGGTCGAGTTCCGCCCGCTTCCGTAGTCGTCTTCGCTTCCTCGAGGAAACGCGCCCGCGACTCTTGTCCCCCCGCAGGACCGGCCGCAAGAACGTTGTGGAGGTGACCATCTTCTGCACCACCCACTCGCCATCACGTACCCCCCCACTTCGCCTCGTCTTGACTGATGTCTTTTTTTTTTCTTACAATTGATTGTAATTTATTCTGCCACTTTTGAGCACCTTTTATATTTTTTTACATTTTAATTATTGTTAATATTATTATTCATGTTTTTTGCCACTTTGAGCACCTTTTAATTTGTGTTAATATCACTGTTTACTTAAATTTATTCTGCCACATTGAGCACATTTTCATTTTTTGTTAATATTATTATTCATGTTTTTTGCCACTTTGAGCACCTTTTAATTTGTGTTAATATCACTGTTTACTGAAATTTATTCTGCCACATTGAGCACATTTTCATTTTTTTTTAATATTATTACTCCAGTTTTTTTGCCACGTTGAGCACCTTTTTTTGTTGTTAAGATTATTGTTCCTGATTTTTTGGCACATTGCGAGCATTTTTCCTATTTTTCTTTATATTACTTATTAATTATTTTCGGCATAAATGTTTCAAAATTTTAAAGCACTCGTTAATTATATATCATTTATAATGAATTATTGAATTATCATTTATCTCACACCTCTAATGTTTTTTGTTTATTTTTTTTCAAAATTATAAACCACGGTGTTTTAAAATGATATTATTTTTATACTTGATATTATTTATTACTGTATTCAAATTATTATCATAATTTATATAATAAAATTGTTATATTATCTATAAATTATCCAGTAATAAAATTATATTTTTTATACAGTAAAATGTTGTTTTTATATTTTTTGTATTAAACGGTAGGTACGGTTTTATTTATTACAACAGAAAAATGATTGATGAACATGATCGTGGTCATGTGGGACCTATGAAGAATATCAACCAATAACTTTTTGGATACCAAACCCCAAAAAAATATTATATTGAAAGTTTTGTCCTCGTCAAAGTATAAGTGCAAGATATATTGTCATGCACCATATATGCACATTGCACACATCATTGTAAAATCAATAAATTCATCGCCCCGCTAAGAGTCTAAAATAATAATAATAAAAACTATTGTTTTCGATGTTGTTGAAAAAACACCATAGTACATCACATTGTGCAGTTTACGTAAAATTAGGTACTGCGCTAACCCGTCCATCGATCCACAAGTGGTCTGACGATCGAATCCGCACACGCTGTGAATTATGACGATGATTCCTGTTGTGTACACAATGCGATTAGTTAAAACATTCAGAACTCTATAAACTAATATTTTAATATACATTTAACATATAATAGGCAAATAAAAATTGAAATAAAAAAAACACACACACACTTCTATATACACTTGGTAGTAACATATTTTGTTGATGAGGCGAATTATTGAAAAAACCCAATATTTTAGGTATGCACTGAACGTTATTTGCATCGCCGAAGATAATATTATATAGACGTCGACACGTAGTAGACCAGACTGGTTCTTAAGCTGTGGACCACAGCGGCGGTTCTATCTAAAATTAAAATATTACATTTTTTATGAAAAATTATGAATAAGAATAATAATTATAAATACCGTAGCCACGTATGTATATTCGTATCGTGTATGCCAACTTGATATTTGATTTGTAATATAAAACAAGTATTAAAATATTAATTATGATAATATGAGATATTTCGTAAAAAAAAGGTAGGTAGGTATTCGAAAGAAAATTGGTAGGAGGTCCGCGATTTTTAAAAGTCTTCCATCAGGGGTCCAACATTTTAAGAACCGCTGTCGCGGTCGTAGACGATTTACAGAGTACCTAATTCTGTAAGAGTTGATAAAATACGGTAAAATGTTAATGACGATTATTCACCAACAACATTGTATGCACAGAATTAATTATTTTACAATTATCAAAATTATCAGAAATTTACTTGTTACCATTGCGCGATAATTAAAAAGCTAAAATTAGGTATTTATTTTAGATTTAATTATTATATTATACTTATTTGTCTCCGTCACAGTGGCCCGGGGTGAAATAAGCGAAGTAAGTCGCGTATAAGAGTATAACTCCAAAAAAATTAGTATTTACTATGGGTTTTTTTCTTATTGTATTATTCTGTAAAATGACAACACTACAACAAAAATGTACCGAAGAAAATAAAATTAAACGATTAACGACCAATTTACGACCTCTACTCGATTCTAAGAAAATCAAGATTGTAAGGACAGCGCAGTGGCGTCCGCAAGATTTTTCAATGGGGGGGAGGCTTGAAAATAAGTTACAATTTTCTTTTCAATTTGTCCAGTCTAATAATTTCATTTATTTGAGGTATTTTGAAATATTTGTAACTTTTCAACTTTTCTGGTAGAAAAAATGCTCTGACCATAAGCTTCAATGCTCAGTGTATATTTTTGGAAGAAAATTGGATCTAGTTGGTACTATTAGGAGGTTGAAATTGAAAATGATCAGTGCTTTTAAAAATAATTTGAGAAAAAAAAATGAAAATGTATTTAAATGTTTGGTTATACCGCCTTCACTTGGATTGTATTTGAATAATTAAATTTTTTTTTTCTATAAATGTCAATAAAAAATTATTTATCCGGTCAAAAACTGCGGACGCCACTGCGACAGCGTAGGAATCATGGAATATACTAAAACCAAACTTTTACTCTAGGTAATATACAGTACAATAATACAATAAGCAAAATACCCATGGTAAATACTACATTTTTTGGAGTTTTACTACTCCACTTACTTTTAAAAATATTAATTTTTGATAAAAATAATTACTTTTTCAAATTAATAAAAATAATTTGTACATTTCTGGTTTAATTGCGTACTTTGGTTGATAGAACACTTAAATAGCTTTGAGATAAAAAAAAATTACGTCAAATGTTGATTAGTTTTGAAGATAAGAAAATGTGTGATAGCTGGTTTGATTTTGATAAAAAAAAGTTAACTGCTTATAACTTAAAGAATAAAAAAGTTAGACCCACTCTTTAAAGGGTATTTCTTCATCATTTTTTGTATACTTTCGTATGACGTCGGACGGTCACTTCACCCCGGGACACGTTGTATATATATATATATATGTACTATAGGGTGTTTCATTATGAACGCCGGATTTAATTTTCCCGGTATTTTTTGTTTTTTGTGTTGGCTTACCAGTTTCTTTTAGCATTGTTATTTATAAACTCTCCGCAATAAAACACGATAAAATTTTGTTTTTTAATTTATTTCACTTGTTTCTAACGTACTGTTTGTAACCATGGTGCGACTGAGTTTACAAGAACGCGTTTTAGTTGTTAAGATTTTTTATTGCCATAGTGAAAGTTATGCTGAAACAGTGCGCCATCTTAGACAGATTATGGGTCGAAATGAGGCTCCTAATGAGTCAACAGTTCGTCGATTGATGTTAAAGTTCAAACAAACTGGCTCAGTGCAAGATGTCAAAACTCCAACGCGCCAAGGCAGTCGCAGATCACCTTTGAATCAAGCAATTGTTTTTGACAGTGTTTTGACCAGTCCAACGACATCTCTTCGTCGACTATCACAACAGTTGGCGATACCGCTGAGTTCGTTATACCGAATCATGAAAAAAAGATTTGCATTTACACCCATATAAACTCCAACTTACTCATTAGCTGAAACCCTGGCGTCCGAACTCTGAAACGTTTCGTTCCCTCCACAGATATATACAATAACTAGATAGCTAACTGATTATATCTGACGCACAATGATTAAGAAGCCGAAGGCCAAATGCGTAGTAGTCAATGTTTTTGTTTGTTATCACTTTATCAATTCGAATTTATCATCATATTATTGTACAGATATTATATTAATAATTTATTGTATAAATCTGTGTATTATGTACAGTCAATTATTGCTAATATAATTTTCATTTTTCATAAAAAAAATTGTTTTATGTGATTTTTAAGTACTTAATTAAATATGCCGACTACCTGTTCAGCTCATCGCTGTACAAATAGAGCAAAATCGGGGTCAAATATACATTTTTTTAGATTTCCTCTAAGTGATGCCGAAAGATTAAAAGGTTGGTTAAACGCTATTGGTCGCATAGGATTTGTGCCAAATGCTGGAAGTCGCTTATGTAGTGATCATTTTGAACGATCAGACTTTTATGATAATCCAGGAGGAAGTTACAAATTAACTTTGAAAAATTATGCTATACCATCAGTTCACTCCACATTATTGCCTACTAAACTCTTTTCAAACGAACCACAAAAAAAAAATGTAATACCTACAATTTAATTTATAAGTTACCCAACAACTAATAGGTAGGTAAATTGTTTGTTATATTTATAGGTATATCAAGTTATATATTATATAGTTATATATTTGTTATACTACTTATACTTATACGTACTTAACAATTTTATTTTATATTTAAATAAATTACTTATTAATTATTATTACTAATAAGTAATAACACTTTAATTTAATATATTGTATTTCATAGTGATAAGAAATGATAACAATAATTAATGTAAACATTGACTACCACGCATATGGCGGTTGACTGCCGACTGTTACACTAGTTAGCTATCTAGTTATTGTATATATCTGTGGTTCCCTCGAGCCCGGCGCTGCTAACTTCCGTGGTTCTGGCCACCCCGTAATCATAGTCATCCGTCACTCACCCGCAGTGAGCTCTGCGGTCTCCGTCGCCGCGTTCACGATTCGCCTTCGTGCAGCACCGCAGCAGGTGTCGTCACTGGTACCGTCGGGACGGTGTCGATGTCCGCGCCGGTACCGCTAGCCTCCGTCGTCGTGTCCTCGTCGCCGCTTTCGGACCGAAGCAGCCGGGCGCCAGAGGGTCTCGCGTGTCGGCGACCTCGAGCGCGCGACGTCCGCGATCCCGTCTCGCTACCGCCGGTGCAGGCCGCGGAGAACGTGTATCGGCGACTTACCGCCGATCACCCCAAAAGTACACTGTCACGTACCTATATACCTCGACCCCACGCCATCGCCTCGCCTTGTCCGCTGCCCTCGGCCAGGGAGGAAACTCTCGGACGGTTTCACTTCGGGGAACAACAGCAGAAAACGCGTACGGCCTTCTTCACACCTCTCCACGCAGCGGACGCGATCCTCGCCGCCGTCCGTCTGCGCGGAGCTGCGCGTGTTGCTAGCGTTGCCCCCGGGTCCAGCCAGCCGATCAAGTCTCCATAGCTGTTCTTGACCTCAGCTCCCCTGGTCGGTGTGACGAACTCCACCTCGTCACTGGGCTCTTCCACCGCCGCTACCTGCATGGCTGATACAGCGACCACGTCGTATCCGATCCGTTCAACCGGTCCAGTACTGGAATCGTCGTCCAGTTGAAGGGTCTTCGACGAGTCACCTGTTATTTGTAACAGTATTTGGATACAAAGAAACGAGCTCAATAGCTCATGTGATAACTACCACATATAGGTGGTAGGTTAGTAAATAGTAGGTACTATAAGGTACTTATGATTTATAATAACGATTAATAAATACAATTTATAAAAAACAATTAATTAAAATTATTTATAAGGGGGTTAATGAAATTATTAAACAATAGGTATTTTATTTATTTCTAAATATTATTTCTTTTTTCTCTAAATCTAAAAAGTTTATGAGGATCTATCACCCATATTTCCCATGGTTAGGCCCCTTACGGGGGTGCAAAGTTTTTTTTTAAATTGGGGCGAAAAATGTCTAAACGCGGCACTGCAGAGATTGTGGTTAGTAGGTAACCGTGGTGGATAGTTTTTAAGGAATTCGTATTAGGTAACTTTCAAATTGCATGCATGCGGGTCTTGTAAATGTGTGCGTAGTAAGTGATAATTAGTGTTAAGCCCCCCCCCAAAAAAAAGTAACAAAACAAAAAGAAGTATTCCTCCAGTCCCACCTAACTTGAAATTTCCTAGAGTTAGGGACTTGACACAAACGTGTGACCAAGTAGAACATAATATAGCACTAGTACATTAGTTACGGCACAATAGAATGAAAAGACGGGTCATTAATATAAACTAAATTTAAATCTCTTAATAATGATTCAAACCAGCGAGTTTTAAGTAAATCCTTACATTCTATTGTCGCGTCAGGGAGGTTAGTTCCATGATGAATTCTGCTCCTTGCACTATACGTATCGAGTACTCCATTGCTTGGCGCCTTTCACTCACAGCACAGCTTCCAACAGTCTGGTTGGCTTTGGGTCTACAGTTCCTGCAAAATCGAATAATATAAAACACAATTCTCAATAACCGTTTAGATTAAAATAACGATTCAGCAGTTGTATACTTAGTGAAGTGCATGACGTAGTCGTTATTGGCATACTGCATTGCACTGTTCTTTCTTCAATTGTGTCTGATACTGTTTTCAATATGATTTCCGGCCATTTAATTTCCAAATATATCTAAATACAAAATACTTAACAACAAAATTAACCACTTAATATTTTTTTCGAATACTAATTTTAAAGTTATTTCAGTACAAAGGTACAATATTAAATTGGCATTTGCACTAACTTCTGATAATTATACATTATATAATTAGGGCCTGGATTTAAATGCCCTAAATACTACCTAAAAAAATGCATTTCAACCGCAATAATCTCCTGAAAAAATTACTTCACAATTGTTGTAACACTCACATACGATAACACGAATAATATTACAATTTTAAACTAAATAATAGTTGTAAATATCACTGTGAATTATTCAGCACATAATTTTTCAGACTGATGTTTCCTTTACAAACAAATTTAATTTTTTGTTCATTTTTCTGCCACCAAGGTAAATTTCCTATTCTCCCCCCCCCAACTTACAACCAGCCCTGTATGCATATAATGACGTTATTATAATCTGTATATAGAATAGCTAATCAGCAATAAGCTGTTTTATTTGTTGTGCAGTGGTTTTCAATAATTTCTTTTTGGATTTTTTCAGTGTCTGCCATTGAATAATAAATACACGTAGGTACGACTCGAGACTTTTCGCAAAAATTTACAAAACATAATAGTATATAAGATACTAAGGTAGGTACTCACAAATTTGTACAAACAGCTGGTTTCATTTGTTACTTCACCAGATATGTTGCTGAGTCGTTGGTTTGAAATGAGAATCTTAAATATCTTTTCGGCGGACCTAAGACGAAGCGGACTATAATTAGTATAACAGCCAAGGGCAGGCGACTATGGCCACCACCGCGGCGGGAACTGTTATTCTTGACATACAAGCGCATCAACGCGTGTCAGAGTATTCTATTGACTCGCATATGATGACTTTTCAGACGGACTATACACACCGAATTATCACCAGACATATCGCACTGGGGCGGTATAATCGTGCTACCAAGGTATATACGTACTACAACGGTGCACCATGTAGCGTAGTATTGCCCTGGTGTACCTCTGTTTAACGCGGTGTACCTATTGGAGCGCGCCGTGGGACGCCCTAGTGTGAGGAATACGAGTTCTAGCAGCCGGCCAAAAATATAAAATATTTTAAAACAATAATATTTAGTGTGTACAATTTATTATTTTTAGAATACATTTTTTAAGTTAATACAAAACAAATCTTAAAAAAACTATTCAATATTATATTTAAGTAATACATTTTAAAATTAAGTCTAATCATCACAACTACTTTCAGCTTCCTCTTCGTTAAACTCTTTATCTTTGGAGTTTTAAATAATCAATAAATGTATCGCTTCTGGAGATAATTCAATTGATGATACTTTACTCTGAGGTCTTAATCCTATTATAAATTTGGTCAGATGTTATCAAAAGAAAGTTAAATAAATCTGTATTTGTGTTAAAGTGTGACGATTTTCTTGAATGATGTTCTCGCATTCGTATATAGTCTTTGTTTCGTGACTCTTGAGCTTCCTCAGATAACTGTCCAATAGGGCATATATTTTGATTGTTAAAGAGCCATGTATCAAAATTTTGTGTACGCTTGGAAGCATACGGTACCAATTATATAACTTTACATAAAGTTAAGCTGTTTCTCTAGCATACTCATCAAATCTTTCGTAATTTATTTCATGACCACTAGAAATCACTGTTTTTATTATTGAAAATTTATGGATTAAACGAACATCAAATCCCGGAATTCTTAAAAAATCTTCGAGCAACATTCCCCGTATTTGATGTACCCATACCCTGAACCCCTCTGTCAACTTTTAAACCTAATTCTTGATTCTTCCCAAAGACGAGATTGTATTTCTTTCTTTTTTTCTGAAATTAAATTTTTTTGTACAGCAGCTGTTCTTTTAGTTGTTGGAGCCTATTCCAATTTATATGCAATTTGTAAAGTGCACTCTAAAAATTTTATCCAGGCTTGCAATGTGGATAAACCGTACTTAAAATTATTTTCATTGATTTTAAATTTGTGTATTTGGTCTAAATTGTTCATATTTGTAGGGTTGTATTTACAAATAAAACAAACTATTGGCTTGAAGATCCAATTAAAGTGTTTATTACTTTGCCATCAATAATCGACATTACCATTGTATAATTAATAGACACAACATTATTATTTATATTTAATTTGAGGGGTTTTAGTTCTGAAATTTCTTTTTCCACTTTTTCTACTTCATTGTATGTTTATTTCTACCATCTCTTTATTATACATAAATTGTATTGGTCTACAATACCTAGCATGTAGACGAAGGTGTTGGATTTGCTCTGTTTCTATTGACCCGACAGTTGGTGGCAATAGAAATATTTATGACTTTTAAATACATTTTTCTATTATAGCAACAGGGTGTTGAATAGAAACAATTATTGATATTTTTAAAAATTGAACTTTTACTATTAAACTTTTTTTTTTATTATTAAAATACAACAAAATTTTATCAACTGTATCAATAAATAATAATAAAACAAAATAAAAATAACCCCTTGTCATAACATTTTAGTCTTTTACTTTCCAGTCTTTAGATTAACTTATTTTATAATATTATGTTACAAACATAAATTATAACTCTTATAATTAACATTGGTAAATCGTAAATGTAACAAAATGTATACATATAGTCATATAGATATATCATATGAATAAATAAAAAATAAAAATAAAATTAACATTTTAGTCTATTAATTTCTAGTCTTTGGATTTACTTTTTGTATATTATTCGGTAACAAACATCATAATTAATTAGTTAATAAGTTCAACTATTAATTTTTATAAGTAAATGGTTAGAAGATCAGATGGAGTTACAGTTATATGTGAACTTGAAAAGCCCTCTGGAATATGGTACTGTTTTTTTGCATTTTTCCAATAATT